TTTATATGCACTGGTATCGGATCGGTACTTGACCAATTCGCAAAGTCCAGTATCTGAATCGGGAGGGGAAAATGGTACTACTTAACACAGGACACCAAAAAGCATCTGTTAAAGCATGTGTCCTAAATATAGTCATCTACAACGTAAAATATGTAATTTAGCAAATATCTGACCAAAGTACAAGTAAATAGTTTCATACCCAGCTCCATATGAAGTACACCAGTATATCATTGGTGTACACTGCCGACGTGAACCTTGCGTTAAACATGTAGGATTGACGTTGTCATGACAATCATAAACAAAAATGGTTTAACTAAGAGCCTCCTCCTTTAGTGCGTTACTTCCTCTCCCTGTGTGGCACTGATGTCTCTTTCCTCCCCTCCATTTCCCACTCTCTATCCTTCTCAATCCCAGCTTTGATGTATGCATGAAGGAGGATTTCCTGAAGACCAAAGAGGCCATTACCCAGGGGCCATTAGGCCTCTAGTAGAGCATGTCAATGAGTGCTGAGTCTTGCTCTGTTTTCACATGCAGCCACTTGTCTATGTGGGGGTGAGGTTGAGGGGGGGATTCCCTGGAGGTGATAAAAATGTGGCCTTAAATGTATATATTTCCTCTCATAAACACTGCCTTTTTTAAACGGAGCGGCTCTGTGTTCGTGTGCCCTACTGTAACATTTGAAATAGTGGTTGGTTTCCTACTGTTGCACGTGAGGAGGTTGAGCCATTAATTGCCGCTCTTGTTCTTTCATGCAGACTAAGAGTGAGGGGAGTGAGTCATCATCATCAGGATGAAACGCTCTGACATTTGAGCGTGAACGTCCCTGAGAGCCTTGCGGCCTGACATCACTGGGTATATTTGTATTTTACAGTAAAGGAGGTGAATGGAGCACTGTCGTCGGGATGAGATTCTTTTTTGTCTGTTGATAGTCGCAAAGCATTATGGTCATATAGGTAATAACCACATTTCAGAGCAAAGCAAATAATGTAGGATGTGAGATAAACAAATATTTATGTAAACGAGGAGGTCTGTGTTATTTAGATGGGATCTATCTGTTGTGTTGAGTGGATGAAGCTAAAAGGGGGATGATAAACTGTGAGGTGAGCAGGGAGTGAGCTGAAAGGGACACAGAGGGGAGATAACCTCGATTGCTGGAATCACTCTGCCGATCTCTTCAGTATATCCTTGTCGAGGACAAGGGCACGCCGACTTTTCTCTGCCGCTGTGAAGAGAAAAAAAAAGAAATGCCCTCAAAGAAAAGCGTGGTAAATGAGTGACAGTATATCATGCTCCTGTTTTTAGAGAGAGTACTTGAGAAGGATCACTGAAGTTTGCTGAGAGCGTCGGGAGTCTCTCTCAAGGGCAGCTGGCTCTATCATGGCAACGCACGGTCCCTCTCTAATCAGAAACATAAAATCTTAGCATTCAGCGTGCTGACTGGACGAGGTTTTACATAGTGTGAAGGCTCCTTTTTTTCTGTCCAACGCAGCAGAACATCAGCATACAGGCCACAGAGAGAGACAGAGGAAGAGGTTATAGGCACGGAGGGAGAGATGGATAAGGTGGAGGAGAAGGAAGATAAGCAACCAGTGTGTGTGTTTGTTTGCGTGTGTCTGGTTGTGTGGGGTGCACTTTCACTGGTGACTTTCCCGAGGCCTGCAGACAGGAGAAACGAGGAGTGATTAATTTTACTCCAACCTCCTCGGCCTCTGTCTGGGGGAGCACTCCCGGGTAAAAGGAGGTTGGAGCAGGACACAGAGCAGCAAAACTGTCTCCTTCCGCTCTCCTCCCTCGATCAATAACAGATTGGCAGGTCAATCTCTTCAGGAGAAGACTGCGCGGCCAATGAGAGAGATCCCTGAGCAGCAGAGGCCCGCCTCTTGTCCGCTGTTGTCACAGTTTGGACGCTCAGCAGAGCTTGAGGTCATTGATCTGTGTGTTTTCACTGAGCAGATCCCTTAGCAGGGCCAGATCGATACGCTATAATAAAGAGTGGATTCTGTACGAGCAGCGAAGTGTCTTCGACGAGATCCGAGGCCCTGGGGTGGCAATCACCTCTTTTATCTGCCACTCCTCCGCCCCACAACCACACAAACATACAGGCAGATGAAATTTAATTTGCATTTAAGGTAGTAATATGACAAGGCCATACATCAGGAATGATTGTTGAAATTGGTTGCCACTCATCTCTTGGTCCCTGCAACTGCAAAACACCCAGAGGCATCGTATCCATCCAGAGAGACATCCTGACCCACTGATGTTTTATTTACACAGATAACAAAACACACTTCCTTCTGTTGGAGACAACTACTGAAAGTGCATTCGTTTAAAATTTAATTTGCATTAATTTTTCTTTCTCTAGGCCCTGTGCACTAGGTAAATAGAGACATGTTTGCCTAATGTATGTTTGAATGGAGAGAAAATGAAGGGGCGGCTGTGAGTCAGCAGAAATGTTTTGTGTGAGTCAGCCTGCCCACATCTGTCCACAAGTATCTGTTTGTTATCATTAACTTCCTGATGGGAAGTGTGGTACGCTAAATAAATGTGCGAGAGTAGCCATCAATTGTGGCCATTTCACTCCGTGTATGGAAGAATAATAATAATAATAAATCAAAACAATGCTGTCATGATTCTCTACCTCAGATCGTTTGCTCAATATGTCTCAAAAAATAGTGTCTCCGCTGTATAATCTGATTATTTTTGTTTGCCATTTCCTGAGGAACAAGCCACAGGTATTTGTTTTGACCGAATGATCTGTGACGTCCATGAACATGAGAGAGGATCAGCCGCTGCATTGCGCTTCATCCCTGCCATCGGCTGGGTTTTTCCTCCCCTGCTGAGGTCTGTGCCCTGCAGTGTGTCCTTTATACCAAAACAGCCCCGTCTTCACTGTCAGCGATAAGACAGAAATGCTGTGCAGCAACCCTGACGACTGCTGTGTGGCTTTCGGTAGCAGAGCACCTGCGTGGCCCCTGCTGACTTGACTGAGCCAAGGACAGCACGGCCACAAGACCGGCTGTCTATGCTTATAGCAAACGGAGGGATGTAGGAGTGGCCTGATCCAGGGACTCTTGGTCATAATGCCTGGGACATGTTTTCCCCTAGTCTCCGTTTGCAAAGAACTTTAATACCTGAGGACATTGAGGACAGAGACACAATGTACACAGTTTATGTAAAAATCTATTCATCTTTACACTCTATTGAACAAAATGAAAGTGTGCACCACCCACATAGGAAGATCAGAGAACAAACAGGAAAACAACCAGTGCAAGAAAAGGCACCAAGACAGAAACAGAAGCACATACAATGATACACACGTGTGCAAAAAGCCACAGAAACACACGTATACACACACAGAGCTGACAGAGCTGACAGGGAGAGAGGGAGATATGCTCTCCGGGGGGTAACTTCATGCTAAATTAGATTTACTCTGAGGATTCAGTGCATCTTCCTCCTCGTTTACCGTTAAAAATGAACAGTATCTGACAATGTGCAGAGGAAAACTTCATCCTCTAAAATGTAATACAGTGCAGCCTACCTTATTAGGAAACTTATCATTATTGAGAGGCTTTCAGTTATGGAAGATAAGGAGACGTACCATGACCCAGGGGTGGATCCTGGGGCGGGGCCAGGGGGGCATCAGCCCCACCTTAAATATAAAACTAGTCCGGACTAACAATAAATGTGACAATTTTTTAAGAATATAAAGACATTTCTTAGTATCTTTGAAGTAAACAATGTGCTTCAACAATTTTCTAAATATCGTCAATGATATACGTCTTTGCTCATAGTGATGAGCTAACAGTAACATGAAGGACACAATCAGTAATTGTTTGTGGATGTTGGACAGATAATTGGCCCCTCTGTGTAAATTGTCGCCCCTGTATGGCCCCTTTTTAGGAAAATCCTTGATTTGACACGGCTGTGCCCATTTTGTAAAGTTACATTTCAAATAATTCCCCTCGTCTAAATAGCAGGTGACAGAATGAAACAATAACAAGGTATCTCCAAAAATGAGCTTATTAATTCTCCCTGTATTCATTTAAATAAATGTTCATCCACTGGACCAGATGAGCAAATAAGTAGAACAAATGTAGTTGGAGAGCAGCCCCCAAGGTGATTGCTGAATGTTTACACTCCAGTTAATACAATCCGCCCCTCCAGAGTCATGCCTCTAATTACCAAAATAAAGCCTTGATTTCTGCGCGTAACTCCGACTTTGGGGAGGATGCGGCTCGTGGAGGAGAGTGGACATGAGGAGGAAGAGGAGGTGGCCTGATGCGCGCCCCCGCCTGTCGCACAGGAATGGGCTACGACCACTCGTGTCAACAGCTGAGTCAAGCGCTACAGATGCTCTGATTGCATATGGGAAGTTAGGGAAGTGGACCTTCAAAATAAAGTAATCCACAGTACAGAATTGGCTGTAGTGGCCAAGTGTGTGTACACATACAAAATAATTATAATAGCTCTATTTACACAGCAGCTTTCATAGCAGTGGTCACAAGGTGCTTCACAAACAGGACAGATAAAAACAAGAATACAAAACATCAAAGACAAGAAGCAGAATTACATTTAAAATCAAAGGAAAGGTATTCAAATAATTTGACACTGTTCTCAGAGTACTCACATTGAAATAGATATAAAGTCAAGGTTGAAAACAACAAAGAAACCAGAACTAACGTAAGGAATTGTGCGAAACACTTGTATAATGCTTGATTAAGTGCCATGCCAGGATACCAAATATATATCCTTACAGCAGCTATTCAGGTTGCCATGATGTAACATGCTTGTACAAATAATTCTGCTACTTATGGTTACTCAGGGCTGCTGCCATGATGTAACACCGTCCTTTCGTGAATGCATTTTACTGATGATGTTAAGATAAGTGTAATTGTTTCTGCAGACCTCTCCGGTGCAAAGCGATGAGGCCTTGAGAAGAAAGTGGTTTTATTGTGAAAAGTAGACGTGTGAACATTCTCTTGTTGTCTTCGGAAACTTTACGCTTGTGTGGTCGTTTCATTGGAGAGAGTGCGAGAGGAAAAAGGAGCAAATGTGCGCGGTGGCGGCGGAGAGGGAGGGAGGACAGCGAGTACGCAAATAGGCAGCGAGACACATCATCATCACCACCATCATCATCATCATCCACAGCAGCAGCAGCAGCAGAGGCAGCAGCAGCAGCTCTTTCCTCATCCTGATCTCCAGCTGCCAACCCTCCTCTCTCTCTCTGTGTGTCTCTGATTGAGATTTCACTGCCGGCTGAAGTGTCCAGAAGCCTCCGCCAACCTCCACCTCCCTCCCCGCACACACACGCACACTTTCTCCGGAGCTCGGTTATTCTTAGCTCCGCGCTGCCAGAGACTGTCCTTCCGGTGCTGCTCTTATTTATCCCAGTTTCTTGAATATTTAATGGAAAATGGCGATCTGCGCGCAGTCGTGCGGCTTTTTCTGCCTGCTGGCGGTCCAAACTGTACTTCTCATATGTGTCTCCACGCCGACAGTCGGGACCCACCTCTTCCCGCAGCACTACACGTAAGTACCCCGCACCGTGTTGTGTTTTTGTGGGTGGATGAACCGGGGGGAGCGCAGCGCGGAACTGGGACAGGTGGCCCCCGGACGAGCCTGCACATGCGGCCGTGGTGTTTACCTTGAAGTCGCTGTCCCCTCCACCACAGACGCAGCGTGTCTGTTCTAATGCTGCCTCATAAGACTGTGGCTCTCACAGAGACCATGTTGTTGTTGTGGGCAGTGGCTTTTAATACCCAAATCCTTATTCAATTTAGACATAGCCAACAAGGAAACAGGCTACCAGGAATCATGCACAGGTGCCACAGGCGAATGATCCCTAAAAGCAATGATTTAACATCCACAAGGTAAAAAAATCAAACAGTTGCATTAAAATTATGAATAATAGTAATCATGGTCCATGTGCTGTCTTGGTGTCACTATGGGGAGAATTACGCACGATGGATAGGCTGAGCCATAACGAGGCTAGTCTAGAGAGTCCTCCAGCGTATAGTGCACAGGCACCGTGGAAATAATCACGTCTATCCCACAGCAGGATACAGTGGTGTTTTTTTAACCGGATAATATTGACTCAGAGAATAAACCAATTAGTTAATGGCACAGGAGCCGCCAGGTCTTTAAAGCTCCCCTCCCTGCATCTCATTTAACTTCTCACACAAACTACTAAACTATTTTCAAGATTATTTATAGCAACATGGCTTCCAGTCATGATTCCTTTTATTTTGTATTAAAGCAAATACTAGAAGTTTAATTGGTAGAAATCTGGTAGAAATGTCACTGTTGCTTTATCCGTGTGTCTTTAGGCACAGAAAAGTATCAGAGCTTCCAGCTGTTTTTTTCAGACGAGGAAACTATTGTTGGAGTTTTTCATCGTTGCACCTGTTGTTGGGGAATTTGTTTCTGCTGTGATAATGTAGAGTAAAGCACGATTCTCTTCTCTTATGTGAAACAGACTAAGAGTTTAACCTTGAGTGACACAGAGGCAGAAACACAAGGTCTGCTGCAACAATTTTCCACCTTTGCGTCATAGAAAGATCCAATAAAAGACGATGATGAATAGAAACCAAATACAGTTTTTTTGTAAATGGATTTTGCCTAATTTAAATTCAGTTCATATTTACTATGAAGATACAAAACCCTCATGAAACTATAAGAGCAACTGTTGCCCTCTCCAGTCTGTGATATGTGGCTTCGGGTCCTCTTAATGATGCTGGTGTTGTGATGAGCTGATGGAGTGTGTCCTGTTTGGACGGTTGGTCAGTCAGGCTCATCACAGGTGACAGAAATATACATTTCTCCCTGATGCATCCACTGGATAATCTACATGAAATCTTCAGGGTTTTGTTGGTCCTCGTGGCCAAGGTGACATTCACAGAAAAATCAGTTTTCCTTCATATTACTGCTGATTGATTTTTAGCTCCGTCATCGATTTGATTGATCACCATAATTAAAAAGAATGCAGATCATTTCTCCTTTTAACATGAATGTTTAATTTATATTTGCTGTATTTGCATTCATATTTTGTTTTAAATTATACTTTCATTCAATGGTCAAATGCGAGGCTGCATGTATAATCTTATAGCAACATCCTCATGCTCTGCTTTTCCCTCCAAATATTACAAACTACTGAGATTATTGTAACTGCTGGATTAGAGATAGCATTGTATTAAAACAATGGTAATCTCATTATATTTTATTATAATCAGTGTTAGCCAGTGTTCTTGTTTGAGCAGATAAAAATAGGTGAGGTCCAGGTCTGGTTTTGTTGTTGTTTTAAATCCGGTCCTCCCCTGGGTTTTCAAAACTAGGTCTCGTGTCACCCAAGTCTTTGTGCTATTTGCTAAAATTTGACTGTTGGCTAATTGAAGTGTATAGGGAGTAGCTGTGGCTGTGTCCATGTGGGTGTGTAGGCCTGACACACACACACACACACACACACACACACACACACACACACACACACACACACACACACACACACACAGGTTTGAGAATGTGTGTGCTGATGGTCTGATAGCCACTAGCTGAGGAAGGGCAGAATGTCCTGTAGTCCATTTTGACAGCAGTGCCAAGAGAGTGTTCTTTCTTTGGACCTTGCTGTCTTGCAGCCTAATCAGAATTGCATGTAGTTAGTATATTTGTGTGGTTTTCGTGTATTGTGTGTGTGTGTATGTGTTTGTTTGGAGGAAATTATTTCCATATAAACTATATGGTGAAAACGTATTCCAGTAACTTAAATGTAAATGTACGAATGTCCAATTTTCTCTAGAAAGCTGCAATGAAAACTCAGAGCAGCTACATTTTAGGGGGAAAAATCTTATTTCCACACATGCGAAATCATTCCACCTTCTGCCCTTAAAGATATCTCAGTATTGCACTTAGGTCATGGTTCATGGCAGCAGAGTTCACATATTGATGTTTAATCTACTTTTCCATAATGTTTGTCTCACTTAAATCATAATACATGAAAAAATACCAAGAGACAAATGGCAGGGTTTTAATCCAACATCAAACTACAAAGAGTTGACCTACATGCGCTGTCCAATGACAATGTCTCGTCTGTGTTTTTAAGGGAGATAAGAGCTTTCACCACACATAAGGGCTCAAAGCATTTACCAAAGCAGCATCTCCCCATCTCTCTATAGCTGAATGAAGGGGTCTGTGTATGTTTTTCCACTTTGATTTACAATTAGCCCAAATCTCAAGTCGTTTTACAAGAGCAAATAAATATTCACGGTCAGCGTCAAATGACCTGCCCTGATGCATGTCAGTTTTAATAGTTGCATGGTCGACTATTGGTCATCTGTCGTTTTCTGTATTATTGATGTATTTGATGTTATGCAAACGATTGAAAAATGGCAACACCCAGAAGCTGGAGTGAAAAGGCTTATATCTGTTTTTATCACGATGTGAGACTATATGCTGAAGTATGTTATCTGTTATTGATTTAACTCATTGATAGATCATAATTTGGATATTTGACTGTGACATTTTTGTACCATTGCAGCAGAATAAAGATGGTGGCAGACTTTTATAATCTTGATAACGTGTCTTGATTTAATCAGATATTTGAAAATCTCTTGAAAAGCTGAACTAGTGTTTGCTTATGTTGACACAGTTTTGTAACCATGTCAAGTTGGTTCTTCATTTTATCTGTGACATACAATATCTCC